GAAATTTTGCAACTTTTGAAAACATTATATGTAAGAAGTGAAAAAGTCACATTTTGCAAAGTTCTAACAAAACTGAATTTTTATGAACCAGTACAAATGATTTTCAACTGTCAATATATATTAAAAGAAAGGTAAATCGATTACCTTTCTTTTGATTATAATACTGTTAAAATCGCTTAACTTTTTTATAGAAAATCTGCAACTTTTGAAAACTGCTATATACAAAGGAGTAGTAGTAATAATAAGCAATTAAGCAGCTACATATGTATGTAAAAATATCTTTATTATTAATGTTAATTGTAATTTTTATTCATAATATTGATTACTAGGTATATTAGGTTAACAATGCATTTTGAAAAATAAATTTTGCAAAATAAAAATCAAAAAAAATTTTAAGATTTTTTATTTAAAGTTTTTAAGGTTATTTTGAATTCGCTGTGAAGAGAATGCAACCCTGCGCCAGCTGAAATGGGCAATGCTAGACGAGTGCAGCTATATGTTTTCCTTAGGAAGTATCTGAATGAGTGCGACAGTGATGCTCGTACAGGGGGAAACTGGTGAAAATCTGCACACCGCCCATACAAAGTTCACCAGATTTTTCACCAGTTTTGAAGTGAACGAAACCCCCGGTTTCACCAGATTTTTCACCACTTTTGGCTGGCAGGGTAGGCGCATATTCATAGTCATATTTAGGCTGTGTGCGAGTTGACCTAAATTTTACTACCTAAACTAATATTCCACTGGAAATTTCCAGCACTGCTACAATTTAGGAAAACAGCCGCTTAAACTGTGCGAGTTCGCTTGACAACCTAAATTGTTTGTTTTGGAATTTGAATTTGTTTGTTTTTAATAAATATATCTATAAAATGAATAATTTTGTGGTAGCTTTGGGACTATTTAACAATATAATAAATTTGCAACATAAAAGGAGAATGCCCCATCCTGGCATCTATAAAAGAATCCGTTTGCTCTTTTGACCCTGCGAAATAATATACATCCATCGAATTACACATATACTTATCTGAATGCAAAAATCAAATAAATTTATACTTACATCTTTCTGAATATTTTCTTTTTTGTGTCATAGCAATGATACAAATTATTTAAAACATCAAAAATCGTTTTTCATTTAATCGCTCGCTCAAATATATTTGACTGTTCAATTTAGGTTGAAAAGTATGCTCGCAGAAAATCTAAATTGTTCCTATTCACTGCCTTACCGACACTTTCCAGTGATTTAGGATTTTACTCTATTTAGGTAGCAATTTAGACGTACTCGCACACAGCCTTGCTTGTGTGCAGTTTTTTATCGCGTTCTTCATCAATTTTAGGTAAAATAGTTTATATTAAACAATTATTTGTTATTAATAACATTCTTTTTTACAGATACCTCGCTTTTTTATCGTTCCCGTCACCAGATTTGTTGGTTTTTGTGAAGTTCCATTTGGCTGTGCCACTTCCACCCGTGTTTATAAGGCGTAATATTCAATTGGAGGTAAAATAGTTTATATTAAACAATTATTTGTTGCTAACAACAATATTTTTTACAGATACCTTGCTTTTATATCGTTCCGGCAACCAGATTCGTTGGTTTTCGAGAAGTTGCATTTGGCTGTGCCACTTCCACCCGTGTTTATAAGGCGTAATATTCAACTGGAGGTAAAAGAGTTTATATTAAACAATTATTTGTTGCTAACAACAATATTTTTTACAGATACCTTGCTTTTATATCGTTCCGGCAACCAGATTCGTTGGTTTTCGAGAGGTTGCAGTTGGCTGTGCCACTTCCACCCGTGTTTATAAGGCGTAATATTCAACTGGAGGTAAAAGAGTTTATATTAAACCATTCTTTGTTGCTAACAACAATATTTTTTACAGATACCTTGCTTTTTTATCATTCCGGCTGCTGTATTATCCGATTCATGTGTGTTGGTTGGTATATCGGAAGCTTTAGTGCAAGATGTTAGAAGAAAAACTTACAGCAGAAATTGAAAAACACAACTGCTTGTGGGACAAAAGACAGCTTAGTTACCGCGATCGGGTGAAGAAAGATTTGGCTTGGCGAAATGTAGCTGCTGCTGTGGGACATCCTGGTTAGTATAGAGTTTTTCAAACTTATAGCAGTTTTGTAATAGGACGAACCAAATTATAACAAATTTGTGACAAATAATTGTGACGAATACTATATTTTTACTTCACAGAGGAAAACTGCCGAAAGCGATGGAAATCGTTAAGAGACCGATATGGAATAGAATTGAAGGTTCATCAACAACCAAGCGGAAATGCTGCGTCGTTTAGACGAACTTGGCCTTATTTCGAAGCTATGTTGTTTTTGAAAGACACGGTCACGCCCAGACAGTAAGTGTACTTTACATTTGTACAATAAGTATTTATATTTGAAATTGTAATTTATATGTACATATTTTAAGGACAACAACAAACATCGTCTCCCAAACGCCAGAAGTTCTCGGGCAAGAACCAGATATACTGGATACTTCCTTTGGATTCCAAATAGGCGA